TACTTTAAAAAAATAACAATATAAAAAAACAAAAATAAATCATAATTTAATTCATGAAAAAAAATATGAATTAAGAAAATAATTCTCAAAATTGATTTTGATCAAGTAATTGCTATGGAAGAGCCGTTACAACCTTTTTCTTTATGCTAATACACCCGACCATTTTCATGAGTGGATGTGACTTAAAATTTGAGTACAATTTTGTAACTCCCTTGATTGGTTTATGCTCATAATTTATGACATTCAAGCAAGTTATTTTGTAACCTAAAAATAAAATTGAATGCTGAAAATTTTGGAGGGAGAATAAAATTTAATGCATGAGAATAAAACATAATGCATGGTAATAAAATTAAATGATGTGATGCTCCAAATTATATATATATATATATATATATATATATATATATATATATATATTCTTTTTACTTAGTCAAAGTATCATCTTATTTTCTTCATCTCTCGAACAAAAGTATTCTCCTCTCTTGTGAGCTTTTGATTATACAAGCATGTTAATGTGTGGACTTGAATTTTAAAGTCCACATTAAAATTCAACTATTAACTTAATAATTCTATTAATTGCTTAATTAATATCTAAAGTTTAATTAATCAATTTAATTGATTAATTTATTCTATTCTTTTAATTGACATCTAATCAAAATTAAGTTTAATTAAATAATCAAATTATTCAATTAAAGTTTCGTCAATTAATCCAACTATTAAAAACATCAATTTTAAAATGTCATCATCTAGAATTTGATGTGGCCCTTTTAGATTCACGATTAACACTAATAGTGGGTTTACAACTCACGTGTAATTTCAATTAAAATAATTAGAGTATATTCACAAAATTAATTCTTTAATTTCAAGAACCCTAAATAAAAGTTGAAAGAACTTATACACATTTTGTTTACTTCACACCAACTATTAACACCAACTGAAGCAAAAAATAGAGATCTGAGCGGTGACCCTCTTTATTCTCAAACGCCACAAGTTCGCAGTTTGCCTGCTCTCCGGCCACGGGCTGGGCTATTGGCGGCTGATTGTCTTTTTGCTCAACATATAGGTGCGGATGGGTCGAAGACGATAGTTACTCCAGCATGTCTCGTCGGGTTTGCTCCTGATGTCTTTTTCTCTCCCGACTGAAGACTAAGGGAGCTCAGATCCAGGCTGAGACTCGTCTCTTCTCCAGACCTTACTATGCGCTTGAGTAAGTTCACAGTTTTTGGTTCTAGGGACTCTAATTAGCTTTTTTCCTTTGTTTTCTTTGGTTGTGGGATTGCATCATTGTGGGTTTTAGCTCGTGTGCTAGTTCGGGTGGTCGTAGTGGTGTGCTCATGAGTTGTAGGAGGGTGGTATTCTACTGTTAGTCTAGGTTTGTGTTATAGTCTTNAATATAATTATCATTTAAAACAAATTAAGAACCCACTAATTGTGGTAACACCTAGCTAGTAGCATGATTATCTAGTGTGTTTGAAATGAGGAGTAAACCTTTTCAATTGCTAGTACATACAAGTTAATCAATTTGCTCGCACAAATAAGCATATCAGAAGATAAGGCATGGCTGTGACATGTTTATCAATTTCATAACTCAATAAATATGTAAGAAAATAATGTATGGGTCATGAATGATAGCTATATGCAATAATTTTTTATAATAATCAATTTGCTGGTCAAAATAAATATGTTAGAAGATAAGATATGGGCTATGAAAAGTTAATCAATTTGCTGTGTCAAATAAACATGTCAGAAGACAAAGCATGGGCAGTGGCACAATTATCAATTTAATAACTCAATTAATGTGTCAGAAAATACTGTATGGGCCATGAATGAAAGCTATATGCAATAATTGTCTATAATAATGCATGGGTCAACATACATATACATCGACGTCTATATATTCAAAGCAAACTTACATATTTTTTTCTCATTATGCAAATCAAGTTACACACTGTAAATTCAATTAGAATCTTAAAAAATTGTCTCAGAATTCATATGGATATGAGTCTGATTCATCATCATCCACCGACAGTGAAGATGGTGATGACACTAATGATTTAAAAGTTGAAATGATCTCATCAATCGGTCAACGAAGTCATGAGTCACTTCAAGCATATCAACACGAAATTGAAGTTCGTAAAAGACGAAGGTTCATCAAGAGAAATCGTGAAGTTGGGCATGACAGACTTGTAAGTAATTATTTCTCTGAGCATCCAGTCTACCCGGATCATATATTTCGTAGATGTTTCCGTATGCGAAGAGAATTATTTTTTCGAATTGTGAATGCACTTCAGACACGATCGTCATATTTCGAGCAAAACATTGATGTAGTAGGAAGACAAAGTTTGTCACCACTTCAATAATGCACAACAGCTATTCGTCAGTTGGCTTATGGAGTCCCAGCTGAGTATTTAAGTATAGGTGAGCCAATCGCTATCAAATGTCTTTTTAAATTTTGTGAAAGTGGGGTTCAAATTTTTGGTGATGTATATTTTAGAATACTAGCGATGTTCAAAGACTCCTCTAAATGCATGAAGAAAATCACAGTTTTTTTGGGTATGCTTGGAAGACTTGATTGTATGCACTGGGAATGGAAAAATTGTTCAGTTCCTTGGAAAACCAATTCACAAGAGGACATTAGTCTCCTGCGATTGTCTTTAAAGCGATTGCTTCACACGATTTGTGGATATGACATGCCTCTTTTTGTGTTGCATGATCACATAACGATATCAATGTATTATATGAATCTCCTCTGTTTAATAATTTATTGTAAAGAAATGCACTAAATATTCAGTTTATTGTCAACGGCACACAATATGCAAATTGGTATTATCTTACAGATGAAATATATCCATAATGGACTACGTTCGTAAAGTATTTTCCTTGTCTGTCAGATCCTAAAAGAAAGTTATTTAAAGAATAACGAGAAGCTACTCGAAAGGATGTGGAAAGACATTTGTGCTGCTTCTGTCTCGATGGGCAATTGTAAGAGGTCCTGCTCGGTTTTGGTATAGAATAAAACTGAAACTTACTATGTTGACATGCATTATTCTACACAATATGATTGTTGAAGATGATGGAGATGTAGCAACACATAGGCACAATGACGAGGATGAAGAGCCCTACACAACATGTCCAGGGCTCAAATCATGAATTTCAAGATTATATTCGTAGAAGTTCAGAGATACGAGACAATACAATTCATCACCAACTTCGTGCAGACTTAATTGAGCATATTCAGACTCATTTTTCTACCAATAAAAAGTTTTTTTTTGTTCTACTATTTTTTCATTTGTAATCTTAATTTATATTTTTTTAACTTATAATATTTAGTGTATTTTCAGCATTTAAAATTAAGTATTCTAATTAAAAATACAAAGACGTTCTTGCAAGGTCCACGAGGGATTTTCTTTTTCGGGCATTTTATGAAGCTAGGAATTGCCCCTTGGACAGCTAGCGAACTTACTTCCTTTATTTGGGAATATTACCGCTCCGTGGGTTAAAACCGAGACTGAACATCGCTTCATTCTAAGAATAAAATACAAAAATAGTATTGAATAAGTGGATAATGAGTTTCACATGTCTATTTTTAAATGAATGATTGAATGTGAGTGTGCATATAAAGGAGAGATGTTTATAAAGGAGAGATGTAAGTGTGCATATAAAGGAGTGTGCATATAAAGGAGATATAAAGTGTAAATTGTGATGAAATAAATGATAAGGAATACGGATGCCCTTATATCATGACAAACAAAAGTCACTATCACTTAATATTGTCATATCCCAAACTACAACCATGAATAACAAACACGCGCTAATGTCATGAATACATGCGAGATAATTACACATAATCTATCCTATCTGTAAGAATATTGGTTTGGCATCATCCGAAAAACCTAAGTGTTTTCTAGAAGATTTTCTTGTTAGGCAAGCAAAATAAATTAAAGGGAAGTTTTCTATTTATTTACTTGTTAATTAATTAAGTTCCTATTGTTTATTATTTATAATATATGTTATATATTTATTATAATATGTATTATGGAATCCTAAACCTTTAGGAGAAGGATTACATAATATATATCCTATATATGTACTTACCATATATGCCACATGCATTAATGAGTTTGATTCTATGCCATAATTAGTTTTTCTCTTTCTTGTAGGACAAGGAATAGGTGGCAAGGACTATGAAAGGATGAGCAATTCGTGCATAAGGAATTCTGGACGTTATCTAGAAGATTTAAGGAGGATTTGGAAAGATTCACCACAAGATCTTTGAAGATTTGGAAGATCGGCTATTTTAGGAAAGTTGTGTTCTTACACGAGTCTGGAACCACGAGATTTCCATTGGAAACTCAATTCTGAAGATCTCCAAATCACATACAATCAAGGAAGATTTACTTTCCATGTTACTACACTATTTTAGGGAAGAAGATCAAAGGAGATCGTGAAAGAAGGAAAGAACTTGGAGAAGACTCCAAGCCTAAGGAGTTGTATATATACCCTACTTGAAGATCGAATCAAGGCTGCTGAGATCATTATTATTCATATACTATTCGAGCTTCAAGTCTTCTTTTATTTTAGTTCTCAGTTCAGTTTTCGGTGTTCTTACATATCGAAGAACTGAAGTCGTTTTGTTTTATTTTCTTTGTTTTTCAAACATTATTGTGATCAGCACTTAGGGATTAAGTGTTATTTAAAGTCCACGGGACGTGGCCGGAGAAGTAGTTGATAGATTCGAGTATAGTTGTTGGTTAGGCTAGAAGGGAGTTCTAGTTGCTGTAATTCCAAAACTATACGCATGTGCACAATCGAGTTATCAATGAAAGAGCTCTGAGGGGAAGTGAGAGTTTTTAAATCTTCGATTTATTGCTTCCGCTATTCTAGTTGTTTATTTGTGTTCTAACAACGTTGAGGACAAAATACCTACGTTTCAGTATCATCTGAATTAAATGATGCATCTCAAACGTCGACTACGGATAGTGCCGGCTCAAAGCGCAGCCATGGAGAATTACAACCCGGCGACCGCCGCCGCAATTCTCCCGGAAGAAATCATCACCGAGATCCTCCTCCGTCTGCCGGTCAAATCCCTCCTCAGGTTCAAGTGCGTCTCCAAACCATGGCTTCTCCTCATCTCAAGCCCTAAATTCGCCAAAACCCACCTTCAAACCTCGACGGCCCGAAATTCCGGCGTTTCACCTTGCGAAAACCTCATCTTTGGCCGCAGAACCGACAACGACCGCAGCCTTCACACTTGCCCCATCAACTCCGCCATCGACGGCTCCGTCTTGGCCGACCCAGTCACCGGCTGCCTCTATTCCGTCAACGACGATGGAGATCCGATCCCCTTCGAATCCGCCCCCTTAAACTGTCCTCCTATTGCCCCCGGTTTCGAGTTGAGGTTAATCGGATCTTGTAACGGCCTTGTTTGCTTTCGTTTCTCCATTCCCACAGATTGCAGCATCTGTATAATGAACCCAGCCACGAGAAAACTGAAAACCCTTCCGGAGTCCGGCGTGTCAGGTATTTACCTTTCCCACTTCAACAATTCGTATTCCTTTGGGTATGATGAGGTCCACGACGATTGCAAGGTGATCGAGATTCACAGTTTCGCGATAAGGTCCGACAAGCACGAGACCCACGCCATGATTTACAGCTCGAGGGCTGACTCGTGGAAGCCCCTGAGCTGGCCGGGCGGGTTCGCCGGATTCCGGTCAGGCAAGTTCCTGAACGGGTCCATCCACTGGCGAGTTTTAGTGTCTGCGTCTAAACTGGATATTGTCTCGTTCAACCTCTCGGCTGAGACATTCGCTCGGCTGCCTTTGCCTGAAGATCTCCGTAAATGTGCCAGTTTTGATGTATTAGAGGTCGAGGTTTTTGGGGGTTGCTTGGCCATTTGTTGTGTAAATTGTGCAGGGATTGTTGTGTGGGTGATGAAGGAATACGGTGTGGGAGAATCTTGGAGTAAAGTGGTTGAGGTGCCTTTTGTTGTTAACCCTTCGAAGCATGGATTTGTATTGCCGAAGCCTGTGTTTGTGTCGGAGGATGGTAGGAAGATGTTGATTAATTACGGGTCGAGTTTGAAGTTGTATGATTTAGGTGACATGGGACCCCATCACTTTGACAGCTTTGCGATGATTGATGCTACTACTTATGTGGAAAGCCTGTGTTGGCTTGCTGTGAATGAAGATGATGAAGGGCTGTGATGGTGTGTAGGTAGAGAGAGAAAATGTGGGATGAGGGAAGTAAGTCGAAATGTAGAGTAATGTTTAGATGAAGCTTGTTGTGCTTGAAGATGGTGTGGTGATCTACTATGTGTGGTGTGTTATCTGTACTTTTTGAGTTTACCTTTTGTGAAATAATAATGTTGGGAACTTTATTGTGTCTGTTTTGAATTTAGTTCAAGTGGCCTGTGTTGGATTACAAATGTCAAAATGAAAAGAAGTAAACAGGTAAAATTGCACAGAGTTATCTGGCTAGACAAATCCTTCAAATCCCCCTTAGTCAAGTTTCTTGGGTGGACAGAGTTATCTGGCATTGGCACAAGAGTGGACAACTCACTGTGAAATCCTTGTATGATCTTTTGATTGAGAAAAATATTAACAAGAGAGCAGGGGCTGGATCTAGCAGGAGCAGAGTTCAAGAAGTGAAGATGTGGAGGAGGACATGGAAGCTGCCCATAAAAAACAAGATAAAATATTTCATTTGGAAGGCTTGGAATGGGTTCTTGGGTTCAAATCTTAACCTTCAGAGGGGGATGGACTTAGATGTCATATGCAAGCTGTGTGGAGAGGAAGCAGAAGATCAAGAGCACATTTTCTTTGGATGTGAGAGAGCTAGGAGATGCTGGAAATTGATGGGATTGGAATGGCAGAAACTGCAGGTTTGCAAACCTTCATTTAAAGATTGGCGGTCTGAAATTTCAGGTGCTCAAGAGAATGAATCCATCAAAGACAGGATAAGTCTCTCTACTTACCTTCTTTGGTGGCTTTGGAAAACAAGGAATGTATGGGTGTTCGAGAAGGTTTGGGTGGGGGGAAGAGATGGTGGTTCAGAAAGCATTAACTGAGTGAAAGGAATTTAATGGAATTCTGGACAATGGAAGGGCCGATGGTGAGATGGATGCAGTAGTTCACAGAGAGACCTTTGGTAGTCAATGATCTGAAAATTTTCTGCTAGGGGTAGGACAGATTGAGGTGTCTGTCACTGCTCCACCTTCAGATAGTTGTTCTACTGAGGTTACAGGTTCAGCATCTAGTGGAGGTATTTTGACTTAGGACTGACACAGGAGCTTTCATTCTTCTGGTAGTGTATTTTCAGATGAACTTCAGAGGGGGAGTTGGATACTGGGTGAAGCTTGAAAGGTAAGAGTGGTCAGACTTGCTTGCAGAACTAAAAAAGATCAAATTGCTGTGGCTTTGTAACAGGAGCAGGCTTTGGATGAAGATCATAATGTCTTAGTTGGATGTTGTTCTGTGTGTATCTTTATGGTGATTTTTAGGCTCTTTTGTGTTAGTAGCCTGGTATTGTGTATTAGGGAGCATAGGTTTTGCCTTTTGCTCGTTTACCAGCCGTTATTGGTTGGTATGTTGTTTGTAACCAGTTGGTTAACCCATTGTACTTCCGTTTGGGTTTAATATATTGCTTTATTGTTTGGAGAAAAAAAAAAAGAAAAAAGAAAAAAGCAAACAAACAACATCTTCAAATCCCAAAGAACACACACAGTTTCTCCTTTGGCTCTACTTGTTTGTCCTTTTTGCCTTCATACTCGGGCGTCGCGATTGTGGTCACCAACAGAGGCGTGGGGAGGGCCATCTCGGGAAGAGGGTTCGAGGACCACCGGCTCGACGACCACTTAAACAGAGGCGTGGGGAGGGCCATCTCGGGAAGAGGGTTCGAGGACCACCGGCTCGACGACCACTTAGGATTAATTTATACAGTTCAATCTCTTATGTCATGTCATCCGCCACGCAGGATTTAAATGGCAATGTCATCGGCCATGCCTTTAATTCATGGTGTAATAATATTGGGCAGGTGAATAATATTAAGACACGTCGGTATGACGTGTCTTTTCCGAGCCGAAAAAAGCAGTTCCGATCATAATTGTCGTGATTATGATTGAATTTAAAAAGTTAATGTACTAATTTTGAAAATTTTCCCATAAAGAAAAAGAGACAAATAATAAAAGAACCAAGCTATTGCCAGAAAATATAATCATCCCATGAGGGTGTAGCAATTAACAACGATCCATATTAAATAAGTCTCGTGTTCTCCTCTCTAATCTCTCTCTAAAACACCCCATCCGGCGGAAGCACAACCAGGAAAAGTTTTTGGGCGCCCCCCTCTTCTCGCCTAGCCGTCGGCTAGCAGTCGCTGGATGCCAGGCCGAGTCGATGATGTCTGTTTGGCCTTCCGCTCAACATATCTGCGTGGCTTGTCAGGTCAATTCCCAAAGGCGTCCGTTTCTCTCACGATTGAAGATTGCGGGAGCTTAGATCTGGGTTGAGACTTGTCATCTCGCCAGATGTGACTAGCCGCTTGAGTAAGTTGAT